CCTTAAAAAAGTAATCCGTTAAGGACCCAAAAAATTCTTCGAAATATAAAACGACAAAGTAACCAATATGGCGGAACACAGTACAAACGCATATAAATCACGGAAGAGTGTTATCGACCCACGTTATGGTTCTCAGTTCGATATATTGCATAAAGTACCTTGACACTCAATGAAACATTTTTATATGTGGCTGTGATCCAAGTATCTGACTTTATCTCTCCATGTATCTTTTAAACTGCTGTCTCGGCGATTGGATTTCGTTTACTTTGACGCCTGACCGATTTTACGATCTTCTTAAATTATACCTTGGACGTGGAGCCTTTAGAACCTTCGAACGATCAATATGCATTGACAATGCTTGCAAGATTTTATTTATTCGAATATTTGTTTTGTGAGTTCAGTTGTGGATGGAGTTTTGAAACTCTATCGCCATTTTGTTAATATTTCACTTATGAAACTTGTGAAACTTATGACACTTGTAATAGAATGTATATGTACAAAGTTTATAGAAATATAGTGACATTCATTCTAAATTTTATTAAAGGAGAAAGTGTATTTTTATGTCAAAATTTGGTCATCAAGGTTTTCTGATTGTTTGCAACAAATATATTTAAGTTTGAGGTAATTAACTTAACTTTGAGGTTATGTTCGAATTCATGCTGTTGAATCACTTCAAACTCTTCAGTGAATACACTGTTTCTAAATGTGTTCTACTATTTGAGTTACATTTGAACTGACATTAAAGAAAGTCAGTTATATAACAAGAAGGTTATTCATCAATAAACAAAATATAAAATATCAACAAAATGTCTGATATCATTAAACATAAAACTTTGTACAAAATCCTAAAACCTAGTACAACTTTGTCATAATATTCACTACGTGTGAGTTAAAATACCCACATCACTTAATCGAATACATCAGAAACTTAAGACCCTGCATACTCATCGCCCGAAGACCCATTCACATATCACCTAACTCGTCAAATCATCAAATGCACAAATAATCTCCAAACGCGACAGACTCCAAAGCCTTCAGTAACCTTAAAAGCCTCAAGTAACCTTACCCGATGAAAAATATATCACACTGCCCCAAAACGCCCAGCTGCCCACGCGTAGTACCCTGACAAAGAACAAAGTTAACAAAGCTAGAATATCACGAGTTAAACTTTGTCACAGTAGAGAATACTCTACGGACTTAAGAAAGGTGCCCGTCGGGGCAACTTGCTGAACAGACCGTAATAAAGGAAAATAAGCACATTGGAAGGTTAAAGAAGCTCTTCGTTCTCGTCCGTGACCCCGTACATCTGTGGCCGTCGTTCCTGAAGCTGTTGTTGTTGTTTCTGAGCTTGTTGTTTCTTGAGGAGCGCGATGCTGGCAGCTTTGTAGTTGATCGGCCCGTAGGAGCGGTAGTCCACGTCCGCGTAGTCGAGATCCGAAAATTCCGGCTTGAAGGGCTGCGTAAACAGAACATTACAACGAACACCTTAAAATCAGGTACACACGTGTGGGTCAATGTGGCAAGCGTTATGGCAGTTCGATGCTAAGTCCTTTGGAGAAGCAAGTTTGGGAAAATCTTTGGTGTTCGATATTAAGTGAAACATTTTTTTTGGTATTTTTTAAAAATTGATTTAGTAAAATTTAAGATACTTGATCGAGGTGAAGTATTTCTCCTGGAGTATGTGTGTTAATTTATGCTTTATCGTTTATTTTTCATTTCAAATTATAAGGTCAAGGCAAATATTAATATTAATAATTTCAATTTTAGTTTTGTAGTTTAGTGTTATTTAGTTGATGAATTAGCGTGCATATTCATGTTTTATATCTGGCTTTTTCAACTTTATTTTATCGAAGATGTCATTTTTTAAAGGATATTCTATTGCAGCGACTGCGGTACACAAAATGGCGGTGTGGAACAACATGGACGACGTTCCCTCCGCGGCCATGTTGTGGCGCTATAAAAGACGTTGTGTGCTATCAAATGACCAGACACCTTGCGTGTGTAAATGAAAATCTTGAAATGTGCAAATCTCAAAATTACCAAATCTCCAAATCTCCAAATTCTAAAATCTCAAAATTACCAAATCCCCAAATTTAAAAATTCGCAAATTTCCAAATCCTCAAATTCCCAAATCTTCAAATCTCAAAATCCATAAATCCCCAAATTTAAAAATTCGCAAATTTCCAAATCCTCAAATTCCCAAATCTTCAAATCTCCAAATTCTCAAATCTCAAAATCCACAAATCCCCAAATACCCAAATACCCAAATCTCCAAATCTCCAAATCTTCAAATCTCAAAATCCCCAAATCTCCAAACCTTCAAATCTCCAAATCCCCAAATCTCCAAAAACTCAATCAATTCTAAAAAACGGTCACACAATAACAAAAAGCACAGAACCCGGCCCACCCCACCAAAATCTCCCACCCACTCCACCGCCACACGAAAATGTCGAAAGATGAAAAAATAAAAGAGCAATCTTTTCCACGTGTTTTTACATTCAGAGCATCGCCCTGTGAACTGTTGCTCGGTGAATTGAATAGTTTGTAATACATTCTGTATACATACGTTAAACGCGTTAAATATCGATTATACCGTAACACGGTCTCAAGCGTTAAATAGTACTATTAAACAATAAATTGTATACAATACGAATAATCAATTTAGACTATGTGTATAGATATATTATATATATATAAATATTAACAAGACACTTTAATATTAATCCGTACGAGAAAATTGTTCTTTCACTTCGTAACGATAGTGATCCGTCATTTGCAATATATTTTCGAGGGCTCGACAACAGATAAGTTCAGACACCTTGCGTGTATAAATAAACAATTGAAACAATAAACGATAAGAGTGACGTTACGTGAACTAAAATATGTCCGCCGTGAAACACTTTGTCGTGTTTGATTCGTTTTTAAATTTGTTACATTTAGGGTAAGCGCGTTTCTTTTGTAAAATACGAGGGTGCGATTATCCGAACGATTTGAGAATTTAATGACGAATTCACGTAATTACATAACGAAGACACGAAGAATGGAAACTGTAAATTTTACTAATTAATCAAACGCATAGTACATAAAGCAGCTTTTCAAAATTGGAGATACCAAGTTGTAAAGATATAAAGCTCAACGATGAAAGATACTCGAAAAGTAACTTGTTAAACGATTATTTCAATTATAGAAAGTTAGATAAAGTCTATATTCTATAGTCAGTTACGGAAATTATCAAATTTTAATCTGTTCTAGCGCGCGTCGCGCGTTCGCTATTATTCGATTAATTCCGAGTTTGTTACTTTCGAACCGGGGAACTCGCACGAGTTGTTTTGCTTGTTTACAAGATGATTTAATGGCAGAATGAAATTTAGTAATGTACCATACGCGAACGTCACATATTTTTACAACGGAGAGATTTTTGCGCAACGTTCAGTCTGTCACGTTTTCCGATGTTTTTATTTAATGTTACCGTCGATGTTAATGCATTTAATGGCGTTGCGAAGTTTGCAGAAAAGATCGTCGGAGATGTTTAACTTTGTAACGAATTGTAAACTTATGTAACTCAAGGAGCCTCAGATTTGCATTGTCTTTATTGTTAAAATGTAATGTTTAATAAACTTCTGTTATATTCATTATACTGTTGTTATTCACTTCTTGTAATACCAATGAAATATGTTATGTCTGTAGTTAACATTTACTACAATGATCATATTCGCTTTATACTGACTTTAATTTATTTAATTTAGTATTTTAAAAATTTGGGAATTTGGGAATTTGTACATTTGGAAATGTGGGAAATTTAATGTAGAAACTAGCTACTTTCGTTAAGTTAGTGATACGGTATCTTCGAATTGAATTCGCAGATGCTATTCTTGGGATTTTAGCGGTATTGTGTTTGGCCAGAGTGTATCGCGAACGGAATGTTTCGAGACAACGAGGATCGAAATTAATATTCCTCTCAGAATTATTATAGTATCAGGTACATGAATAATTTAAGATGCCACCGACGAACAGAATCCTTCATATCCCTTTGTGTTTGATTGCTGATAATTAGAAATACGAACACTCGTGAAATTCTATTTACTCGCGCACATATGTATCTCGCATAAAATTAATTCCATCATATTGTACCGCTATCTCTGTATCATAGTAGCCGAAATGAACTTCAGACTTTACTTTTCGAGTTCCATCGGATACTGAGTTTACAGACCGAAATTGAAATGTAAGAATATTAACTAACTTTCTTGTTCGGGGGTTGATGGATTATGTTGGAAAATTTTGGTACAGGGCTGTTCAAAAAAGGTGTGCTCGGTAATTAGTTATACTGTTTTATTCAGAGCTTTAAGTTAAGTAGAGCTTTTATTTTAGATTTAAGGTTATGTTTGTATCAATTGATAGTCTCGTTATTTATTAGTTTGGAATAAATTTATAAAGTTGGGGTTTTTGCAAATTTTAAGTTTTTGAAAAGAAAGAACATTTAAATAAAAAGACCATTTTTTTCTGGAAAATTTGAATGACAGACTCGTGCTACTTCGAAATTGATGGCACAGTTATTGTGTAGTCCGAGTATTTTTTGATTAAACTTCACAGATTGATGTTCAAAACCTGGGGACATTTTTCGTCGCGTTAAAAACAGATAAATTCTTTCTGATTGTGAATGCTTGCTTTTCGATTCATGAACCTAGCAAAATATTGCAAAAAGTTTGTAACTGAAGTCAGAATAAATTAGGATGTGGACATAACTTTAGCTTCTTTATTTTAGAATGTATTATACTTTTCTTTCATTTTGTTAAATGATTTATTTATTATTTATTTGAAGTATTAAACTTTTAAACCTAACAAATTAATTTTCATACATTTATTTCGTTTAATTTAAAAATAGATTAACAATAGATTTAATTAATATAAATATGTTAAACAACAAACTGTTTCCTATATTGCATTTTTCAGCCTATGAATTATTTTGTATTTACAATTATATTATTATGTGACCATGGTATAATTATTTATGAAAAACAGTATTGAATAATAGTCAATGATTCATAAAATATTCACAAAGTATTTGTTTAATATCTTGAAATCAACCTATAACAAATTTATGTATACTCGTGTGCAAAGGATCAAGGGTCTACAATATCGAAAGCTGACTTTATTCTCAGTGTGGTACAAGTATTGCATCGATACCGATAATAAATTCAAGCAATACGACGTAATTCATAGAATACAATGTACCTACAAGGCATGTCGGACGCCAAAATTGTCCTAGTAAATGTACGTATCGCTCTTTGTCTGCTGACCCTCCTATGAACAAACATTTATATACAATTGATATGTATGCCAGAATACAATCATTCAATTACTACTTCGGGTTTCAGGAGGAATAGCTTCGGTAATGGCGGCATTTCGAGTAAAATTTTTATATAAACGCGTATCCGATTATCGACGCGTGTGGAGCCGCGGCCATATAACCGATAGTCGCCATTGGCCACCAAGGTCTCCGGAACCCTTTAGATTTTTGTCCGTGGATCGATGGAAGCGAAGTTTGCAAAGTAAAAATAAACACGAGAGACGAATTGGTCGTCGCGTTGCGAACAGTGCTGCCCCCGCGAAAGAACGCGAAGATAACCTCAAAAGAGCTGCGCGCCATCGCGGACGGAGTTGAAAAGTGTATCGAAGTCGATGGCGGGATTTTTGAACGGTTACTTTGAGCCTTGTATATCTTCGCGTTTTATATCGTTATAAACGCAAATTGGCATTTTTGATACCTTTTGCGAGGCCTATGGTAACGTTCAAACTAGCTCCACATTGATAATGCGACAAGTTTTTATATAAAAATTTTTACTTGAAATTCTGAATTATTGTTTTACCAATATTTGTCATGCTTTTGATTTACTGTTCCTTCTGTAACACCCTGTACTTAGAAATCTTTTGTAACATTGAATTTTCGAATTTTAAATAAGCAAATAGTTGATCGTTTGAAGTAACCTAGAATTATTTAACTACTGATATTTTTTATGATTTTACATGACATGAAATTATTTATCGCGTTTTAAGTTTCGAACGAAATTAATTTGGTTTTTCAAATTTATTTCAGGGAGTTTTAAATTCTTGCAAAAACCACGAGGATAATTTCTCTTCAATCTAGATTTCTGAAAAGGAATTTATGTTATTGTTTTAGTTATGGCAGAATTAAATAAAAAATTCCTTTGTCTCGTATCAATTTTTATATATGAAATACTTACCAATCGTGCGGATGTCAATAAGGAAATAAAAGATAAAGAATTGTAACGAATAATGTAATAAAAACAAGAAGCTGAAAGCAACTTTCGAAGAAAGCAAACGGGAAACAAACGCAAACGCAAACACAGTGATTGAACGTCAGCAAATAAAACAAACTCCAACGAAAGCAATAAAATAATAATTAACAAATAAAATGTATTTCCTACCTGTAATTGTGTCGTAAAGATAAGAATTTTATCCGATGACTTTTATGCAAAGTATTGTTAGTTAATTTTATTTAATTGTAAACATTTTTTAAATTGTTCGACAAAAGCTTGCTAGCTTTATGAGACAATTTGGATATTAATATTTTTGTTATGTAAATTAAATAATCAGGTTATATTAATTGTTGTATTAAAATCATTTAAATTTCCTTAAGTTTATGTTAATTTTAGAATGTTTATGTTAATTTAATTTAGGTTATTCAGTAAATTTACAGATTTGGTTAAAGACGTTTACGCTGCAATTCGTAACTATTTTTTGATATTTTTATGTAAGGTGAGTTTTGTGAAGTAGACTCTCGTTATATGGCCTGTTACAGTTGCAATGTGGTAATTTAGAAATATAGAAATTCAGAGAGTAGAAGTTGGAAAATTTGAAAATTATGAATTTTTAAATAAAAACATTCTTATATTTTTAGTTTAGGAAATTTTCCAATTTTCCAATTTTCCAATTTTCCAATTTTCCAATTTTCCAATTTTCCAATTTTTCAGTTTTCCAATTGTTCAGTTTTTCAATTTTCCAATTCTCAAATTCTCAAATTACCAAATTACTAAATTACCAAATATCCCAAGTTTCCAAATTTCTAGATTTCAAATTCCCTAGATTCCTATATATTTAGACCCCACATAATTATGGTCCAAAATTCCTAGACTGCCAAACCTCTAAACCCCAAATTACCCAGATCATCAAATTCCTAAAACCCTAAATCCTAAAACCCTAATTCCCAAGTTCCCAAATTGCGAAATCCCTAAACTCTAAATTCCTATATCTCCAAATCCCTAAATTCCCAAATCTCTAAATTTTCAAATCCCTAATTTCCCAAATCCCTAAATTTTCTAACTTCTAAATTTCCAAATCCCTAGATTCCTAAATCCCTAAATTTCCAAATCCCCAAATTCCCCAATTCCTAAATTCTCAAATCCCAAAATTCCGAAATCCCCAAATCCCCAAATCCCCAAATCCCCAAATTCCGAAATCCCCAAATCCCCAAATCCCCAAATCCCCAAATTCCAAATCCCCCAAATCCCCAAATCCCCAAATCCCCAAATCCCCAAATCCCCAAATCCCCAAATCCCCAAATCCCCAAATCCCCAAATTCCCCAATTCCCTAAATTCTCAAATCCCCAAATTCCAAATCCCCAAATCCCCAAATCCCCAAATCCCCAAATCCCCAAATCCCCAAATCCCCAAATCCCCAAATCCCCAAATCCCCAAATCCCCAAATCCCCAAATCCCCAAATCCCCAAATCCCCAAATCCCCAAATCCCCAAATCCCCAAATCCCCAAATCCCCAAATCCCCAAATCCCCAAATCCCCAAATCCCCAAATCCCCAAATCCCCAAATCCCCAAATCCCCAAATCCCCAAATCCCCAAATCCCCAAATCCCCAAATCCCCAAATCCCCAAATCCCCAAATCCCCAAATCCCCAAATCCCCAAATCCCCAAATCCCCAAATCCCCAAATCCCCAAATCCCCAAATCCCCAAATCCCCAAATCCCCAAATCCCCAAATCCCCAAATCCCCAAATCCCCAAATCCCCAAATCCCCAAATCCCCAAATCCCCAAATCCCCAAATCCCCAAATCCCCAAATCCCCAAATCCCCAAATCCCCAAATCCCCAAATCCCCAAATCCCCAAATCCCCAAATCCCCAAATCCCCAAATCCCCAAATCCCCAAATCCCCAAATCCCCAAATCCCCAAATCCCCAAATCCCCAAATCCCCAAATCCCCAAATCCCCAAATCCCCAAATCCCCAAATCCCCAAATCCCCAAATCCCCAAATCCCCAAATTCACAACCCATACCCAACCGCTAAAATTCTAAAAAATCCCCAATAATCCATTAACCGCCATACGAAAGGCAGCGCAAGCTTAACCCACTAACCTTTTAGACATCGATCTCCTGACCGACGTCCCTGAAGTGTAGCTCCGCGTACTGCATTATCGTCGGCGCGGACGGCGACCGTCCATCGCCGAGATTCGAGGACATCCTCTTGGACTTGTTGCGGTTCTTCGCGTCGCCCGGGTCCGCATAGTGTGTGCTCTCGGGCGGGCAACGATTCGGCTGTCGCTCCCAGATCTGTTGACTCCGCGAACTCGGATTCGATCTGTGATAGTCGGTGGGACACTCCGCGATGTCGTCCTCGTAGTAATGCGGGTACGATATCTTGTAGGTCTCCGGTATGCCGAGCTCCTGCACCTGATGGAAGCTGGTCTCGCAAGATGGCGACGTGAACGTGTCCGTCCTTCTAGGCTCGCTCCGTCTCTGCTTCTGTTTCCGCTCGACCCGCTTGTGCTTCCGGTACTTCTGGCCGCGATCGTTGGCGCGATTCGCGTGCCGTCGCGATTGCCTCGCGTCGTGGTTCGCGTAATTCTGCTGCTGCTCCTCGTCCGGGTGGTCCGACAGGTGGTTCACCGACGTCTCGTGGTGGGTCAACGAGGACGGACGATTGTTAGTGTGAACGAAGGAGGTCTGCAGGGGACTAACTATCGAGGAATGGTAGAGGCTGCGCGTTAGTGGCAGTGTTAGTTGGCTCGAACTGTTGCTCGGTAATGGGTAGCTGTATTGCTGCATCTCCTGACGGTGCTGCTGCTGATAGTGCTCTTTGTAGTTGTATAGGCTATCGGTCTGCAACAGGCATGGTTAGTCGCTGGGGAGATAGCCGCAGCGTGGGGGAGTTACTGTTACTGCCAAGATGAATCGTAATCGAGGAGATCAAATACTATTTCGACGTTTTTTGTACTGACAAAACTTTCTTTTCAGTTATTTTCCTTCGTTGGATATCTTGGGTTGTTCACAATTTTAAGTGTTTATTGAATTTGTTGCATGGATCATGTTATTGTGGATCTTCTTGTATGACCTGCAAGCTTTTGTATACTTTTGAAAGTTATATGAAAAATGGGTTGGGTGGGAATTAGGCAAATATGAAAGGAGTGGTTGTATCACTGTTACAAATGGGGAAGGTGTATGACAGATGATTTGATGAGGAAGGCTGTGGAGTATGTGGAGTATATGGATTATAGGAGCTAAGTGAACTATGTGGACTATTAAGACTATAGGTGCTACTTGAATTATTATGTGGACTACTGGACTGTGGATGCTAGTTGAATTATGTGGACTACTAGGACTATGGATGCTAGTTGAATTATGTGGACTACTAGGACTATGAATGCTAGTTGAATTATGTGGACTACTAGGACTATAGGGGCTACGTGAATTATGTGGATTACTAGGACTGTGGATGCTAGTTGAATTATGTGTACTATTAGGACTATGAATGCTAGTTGAATTATGTGGACTACTAGGAGTATGAATACTAGTTGAATTATGTGGACTACTAGGACTATGAATGCTAGTTGAATTATGTGGACTACTAGGACTATAGGGGCTACGTGAATTATGTGGACTACTAGGACTATGGATGCTAATTGAATTATGTGGACTACTGGACTGTGGATGCTAGTTGAATTATGTGGACTACTAGAACTACAGGGGCTACGTCAACTATGTGGACTACATGGGCTATAGAGGCTGTGTGAACTATGTGGACTACTAGGACTATAGAGGCTATGTGAATATGTGGATTACTAGGACTATAGGGGCTATGTGAACTATGTGGACTACTAGGACTATAGAGGCTACGTCAACTATGTGGACTACTAGGACTATAGAGGCTACGTGAATTATGTGGACTACTAGGACTATAGAGGCTACGTGAATTATGTGGACTACTAGGACTGTAGAGGCTACGTGAATTATGTGGACTACATGGGCTATAGAGGCTACGTAAACAATGTGGATTACTAGGACTGTAGAGGCTACGTGAATTATGTGGATTACTAGGACTGTAGGTGTTACGTGAACTAAATGGACGACATGGGCTATGCGGACTATATGAGCTACGTGAACTATGTGGACTATATGGACTGTGTAGACTAGATAAACTACATAGACTACATGGATAATTTATGGAGCTATATGAACTACATTGACTCTATGGATTATGTGGATTATATGGACCATGTAGACTATATGAACTACATGGACTACATAGATCATTTGAATTATGTGAAGTATGTGGAGTAAGTGGAGTAAATGGACTATGTGGACTATGCAGTCTAAATGGAGTAAATGGACTATGTGGACTATGTAGCCTAAATGGAATAGATGGACTATGTGGACTATGTAGTTTAAATGAAGTAAATTGACTATTTGGACTATGTAGCCTAAATGGAGTAAATGAACTATGTGGACTATGTAGACTATGTGGACTATGTGGACTATGTGGACTATGTAGACTATGTAGACCATGTGGACTATGCAGCCTAATTTGAGTAAATGGATTATGTGGACTATGTAGTTTAAATGAAGTAAATGGACTATCTGGACTATGTAGCCTAAATGGAATAGATGGACTATGTGGACTATGTAGCCTAAATGGAGTAAATTGATTATGTGGACTATGCAGCCTAATTTGAGTAAATGGACTATGTGGACTATGTAGTTTAAATGAAGTAAATGGACTATTTGGACTATGTAGCCTAAATGGAGTAAATGAACTATGTGGACTATGTAGACTATGTGGACTATGTGGACTATGTGGATTATGTAGACTATGTAGACTATGTGGACTATGCAGCCTAATTTGAGTAAATGGATTATGTGGACTACGTAGTTTAAATGAAGTAAATGGACTATCTGGACTATGTAGCCTAAATGGAGTCAATGAACTATGTGGACTATGTAGCCTAATTGAAGTAAATGGACTATATGGACTATGTAGCTTAATTTAAGTAAATGGACTATGTGGACTACGTAGCCTAAATGAAGTAAATGAACTACGTAGGCTACTTCAGCTATAAGTACTCTATGGACTATGTCAATTAAGAAGAGTATAAGATCTACATGGACAACAGAATCACATGAACCATGTTATCTGTATATATAACATGAAAGACGTAACCTGCACGAAGAGATAGCTAAATAGATGATGTGGACTACATAGCCTACATGGACCCCATGACTTATACAAGCCAGCTAAATTATGTGGACCAAATGAACTTATTATGTGATCTTTATGAACTACACTGATTACATAAACTGTGTCAACTACCTGGATTAAATGAAATATACATAATCTGATCAGATACAGATAATCATTTCAGAGTGAAAGATATTGATTGCGCCTGAATAAATAACATGAAACGTCTAGACGAAATGTGACCAAATCTGAATATCAACAAAATAATAAGCAGATGTCTAAAAGATATCTTATCGAACGGGGTAAAACCAAACTATGGCTTAAGGAGGGGAAAGATAAGATATAGAAGAAATTTCAGATAATAGAGTAATTAACATTAAATTTTGTACTAGTGATAACTTGCAGGAATACAGGGAGATTCAAAATAACATTATTTTATAGTTCTGAAATATTCATTCAAGTCTGAGAAGGACATTTTTATCTGTAATAAATTTTGATTATTCAAATTTTTGTTTTCAAATAATTTTATTCAATTGTAAAAGTTAAATAAGACGTTAAAGTTAGATAAGACGTTCAAAGTAAAAACATATTTTGATTCATACCCTAATGCTATTATCTGATAGTAAACATGTGATACACGTATGATGCAACACATGTATCTCTATTTGGTATCGCTGATTTATCTAAAATCTTTAAAGCAGACACGTTGAAACCGTCGATTTTCTGGCACAACCGTCGAACCAAAAGAAGGTAAAGTCGATCACTATAACGAAGTTGATTACGGTGCTTGATCATGCTCCTTAAACGTGTAATTCAATTTTGCGTGATTTCGCGCTTCTTAAAGCGAAGAAACTGAGCAGATCGATTTTAGAGAAAAAATAGAGTATTGTCGAGAAAACGGCGATATAACGAGAGGAAACTGTTTTAGTTGTTTACGTAGGATTTTAATGTTTGAAAATTGTTAATAAGTTTGATATTTATTAAATTTGAAAATGTATTGTAAATTTTTAACATACATTTTGTTTAGTGTCATAACAAGTGAGATGGAAACATTTTACTATACCGCCTTTTTCGAGAGTAAGTGCTTGTGCACTGTTAATTTGCAAGAAATGATAGTTTTAATAAACAATGTTAAAAATGTAAAAATGTCATTAAATTTACTTTAAAAATTATAATAAATGTGAAAAACTAAAACTAAATGAAAAACTAAAATAAATTTGAAAATTATGCAAACTAGTTCTTAATGGAGAGTCGCTCTGTTATAGCGATAAAAATATTCCCAATTAAAAAATTTCAAAAATAACCAGTGACACAAAACATTTATTTGTAACATCAGAACCTATATCCGAGAAAACCTGAACATTGCACAGCAAAGCCCCGAACAATAAAGTAACCATGTTATTCTTTAAAAGCGAACTCATTATAAAAATCGATAGAAGCCCGCAGAGGAAAAATTCTGCTTTTCCAGAAGAAGCGATCCGTGAAACCGCAGCATCGATATCTGCACTTTTCTCGCTTTAAGGAGCAAACCAAGCAGATATCTAAAACAAAGATATCTCCCTCAAAAGAGGACCTCAGAGAAAAACGTCGGGACATCGTTCTAACGACATCGAAATAATATTTTATCTCCTTTATGAACGGGATTGAAAAGCTCGGTGATAAGCAACGTGTTTCACTGTGTGCATGTTCGTATACGTGTGTGAGTAAAAACTTACTTGATGCGCGGCCGACATACACAAGGACGGTCGCTACATAGGTGGCCAGATCCAGCTTAGCAGGGAAAATATGATTTCCGATTATAACTCGGCAACTCCAGCAACTCTACCTCCTATTTGCTCGAAGCTGCTGTTTTATATCTATTGCGGACACGTAAATCGTACATGCAGTAGGTGCGTGGCTAATTATTAGAAACCGGTGCTTAGGACAGGATTCGTTACTGCTGCCGCCACCTTTATCTTCTATTATTCTTTAATAACATTCTTCTATAATGATTGTATAACGATAAGGCTGTATTTAAGATAGTTTTACTAGCTATATGATAGTCTACAATAATATTTGCATTATGACAAACTGTATATACTTCATAACTGTGCACACGTATGGACTTCATAACTGTACGTTCATATGGACTCTATAACTGTACAGGCAAATAGACTCTATAACTGTACATGGGCAGGCACTTCATAACTGTGCATACGTATGGACTTCATAACTGTACATAGACATGGACTTCATAACTGTACATACGTATGGACTTCATAACTGTACATATACATGGACTTCATAACTGTGCATACGTATGGACTTCATAACTGTACATAGGCATGGACTTCATAATTGTGCATACGTATGGACTTCATAACTGTACATATACATGGACTTCATAACTGTGCATACGTATGGACTTCATAACTGTACATATACATGGACTTCATAACTGTGCATACGTATGGACTTCATAACTGTACATAGACATAGACTTCATAACTGTGCATACGTATGGACTTCATAACTGTACATAGACATGGACTTCATAACTGTGCATACGTATGGACTTCATAACTGTACATATACATGGACTTCATAACTGTGCATACGTATGGACTTCACAATTGTTCATACGTATGTACTTCATAACTGTGCATACGTATGGACTTCACAACTGTTCATACATATGTACTTTATAACTGAGCATACATATGTACTTTATAACTGAGCATACATATGTACTCCATAACTGAGCATACATATGTACTCCATAATTGAGCATACATATGTACTCCATAACTGAGCATACATATGTACTTCATAACTGAGCACACACATGTACTCCATAACTGAGCATACATATGTACTCCATAATTGAGCACACACATGTACTCCATAACTGAGCATACACATGTACTCCATAACTGAGCGTACACATGTACTCCATAACTGTACATTATATGATTCCTACACAGTTTGCCAATTTAATACAAGTTTATGTACAGCACTTATTTTATAATACAATTTATAAGGTTCATGATATGTTAATGTCCATAAAGGTGTACGTGGATGAACCGCGTCCCTACAATTAGATCTTTAAATCGTTGTACTTAAAGCGTTAAACAGGGGATAATGGCGTCCGATCCCCCTAATCTCGTCCTGGGGAAATGCAGCAAAAAGTTGGAAAGTAAGAAAAGATTGAACGTATCGGTCAGTTAGCCGCGATCGATGGAGAATCCTGCAAGAAGTATGCAGCTCCGTGGCGGCAGCAGCAGCGTCGAAGAGGGATGCGGGCATGTACTCGTACGAGAGAACAATAGCAGTCGACAAACCTTGGTCCTAGGTAACGAAGCGTTTTTCGGCGGAAATACAGGAGGGGGAACGTTTTGATAAGTGTGCTTCGAGGGATCTGTTTTCTTGCATTTCCGTGGTGCTGGAACGGGCGGTGCCGACGCAGCAGACTGATTCTGTACGGGCGGATCGATGGCTGTCGAGGACGGCGATCTAACGATCGTCGTGATCGTGCTGGTGCTCGAGTTCTTATGCGGACATTTATATATCGGTATAGCGTAAAGCTGATACTTCCTGTGCTGGTTCTCGTGCCTCCGGCAAAGTCTCAGCGAGTAGAATTGCGAGCGTTTGTGTTTCCTACGCCGCGGCTTCAAGCTGTTGTACTTGAGCACGGGCGAGTTATTCCTGGGCACGTTGTAATCGCTATAGTGAGGACCTAGGTGGCTCCTGGTCGATTCGTAACCGGAACTGACGTCACACAGCGACGCCGTTCTGCTTGCGGGCCGTGACGCACACGGAGAACACGGAACGGAACGATGCAACGTGCCATGCAAAGCCGAAACTCGGGCAAACATAGGGGAAACCAACTAAAACAAAAGACAAGCGGCTACTTATGCGCTAACTCGTTTGCACTTCAATTTCGTTCGTACACTCTCTAATCAGAGTATCCAAATAGGCTCGAGTAAGATTCGCGGTGTAGTGGTACATCGGGTAACTCCGACTCGCTTCGGAGCTACTCGGGTCACGTGATACACTCGACGTCATAGACTTCTATCAGAAGTTAAAAATTTAAAAATAATAACAGTAAAAAAAAGATAATAGTTTAAGAAATATATTTGAAGTAACACAAATTTATTAAATAATCAACATTATATCTTGTAATGGCTATTAAAAATAAAATAATATAAAAAATATTAACTATACTCAACAAATAACATCATGGTTGCTCACAACCTTAACCTTAAAACCCAAACAATAATAAAATGAAGTCCCCAAAATTTAAAATTCGATCACTCCCTAAAAATGAAGGCGCCCCGTTGAAAAGACCGGTAAACAATTGGGAAAGCATTGTATAAAAATATCAATGATGAGTAACGAACCCGATGCGAATAATGAAAGACACGTTCGCAATCAAGATCGGTGTCGGTCGAAAAAAATTCGTTGTCCAGGTATCGTCCGACTATTGTTGTTCGAATGTCAACTGTACACCGTGCACCAACAGGCAAACAGTCTGAACAAACTGGCATACTGGCTGCAGAATGAGATCCGGTCATCGAGACGGGTATTGTCGCGTTCGCTTTATTTCAATCTCAGCGGAACGAAATTGTTGGCCAGACAGTTTTGAGGAACATTCAGGAACAATAGCGGGCAGAAAGCGGGCAACTATCGGTTACACGCTGCAAGTTTGATCGTGAGTCCACTTACCTGGCGGCCAGACCTGCCGTTCGAAGATGGCGTATGAATTTTTTACGAATATGGACGTTTATAGAAGTATAACTTTGTTATAGAAGACTGTGTCATAAATAGACCGCAATTTGATGAAAATGGTACTTGAGAGCACCACTATATTACCTCATTTTACATTCGGATGGAAGAAAAATGCAATTCTCATATTTAAAAAATTGATATTCTTTGATTATATTACTGTACATATGGTTTAAATTATTTATATTTCGTTTCTGAGAAGGAAAAGTGCAGTAAGAATGCTTTACTTTCAAAATATTGGATGGTGTATATATTAAAATTGTTGTATTTCTTCAAGTAATTATCATTTTTGAGTGTATGAAGTTGTGAAGATAGTTGGATGTTCAATTTTAATTATTTAGGCTTGCAATGTTAATGGAATTAAAGTATTTGTTGAAATAAAGTAGGATGTGTTCTTGAATAGAGTTACGCAGTGTGTACGCGCATGCTACTGCGCATAGTACTGCGCAGTGCGTACGCGCATGCTACTGCGCAACGCGTACGCGCACAGTACTGCGCATGCGTACTGCGATCATACACGCTGTACCTTACCCAAGGAAATATTTTACTTTTTCCTCAATACAATGATTAAAACGGAACAAATTAAATTAGTATTCACAATTCTGGTACACTGAATAATTTATAAATAAAGAAATTTCTACTGATAGCCATTTAATTCTAAAGTTACTTCTAACTTTACTGTTTAATATTTCATCTAAAAAGCAGAAAGAGTGTACAAAACTATTGCAATGAATAAAACTATTTCTGCATCTCATACAAGTTAAAATATGAATATTGCATTAAAAATTTTGCAGAAAGGTGGCATAATCTAGCCTTTAAACTGCGATAGGGACCCTAACCTGTGCAACAGAGGCATCTCGCGATGTCATAGTCTCCGTTACTCTTCCATAATCGTCCACGTTCGTAGAAGTTGAAACGCTCGAGCAACGTTCGCGATCGGAAAATTAATTTGTTATCTGGCTGTAATTCTGACGCGGTTTCGGCCGCAATATCGATCAATCGTCGATGACGATTTATGACACGAGTTGTTTCCCGTTTACTCGGACAGCAACGTGACGGCTCGTGGTTTGCACGGATTCGCTTGAATATCCATTCATTAACCCTCGATTCGCTTCTGCTACATCGAGGACTCGTTTTATCGACGCCACTCTTTGCTTTTCGCGCGAATTTCACGCTTCGAAAGTCACCGTAATTTTCGCTGTTTGCACTCCAAGTTTCAGCGAGAGGCAATAGCGTTTTTTTTATCCGACCGATCTATCGCGTCGTGTGAATTTGACTGCTGTCCACGGATACGGTAGTTGATTCTAGCTTTATATCGATACTATTTTCTTTATCGTTCGAATTGTAGCAGTGAAATTGTGATCGGTAAAGCGTCGAAGTACTAATACAGAGAAGTCCAGTGAAATGAGGGTTTTATTGCACCAAACAGATATCTGAGTCAAATCTTATGAAAGTAGAAAGTCTAATTTTGGACGTTAGATGTAATGAAACGTCTGATATCCTAACAAAATGAAGTAATACGATTTTTGGTAATATTTGAAAGCTCCCACATTAAAGTAGGCGATAAACAACGTACGCAACAAGTTCCAGATCAATATGGCACACAATGGAAAGGGTGAAACGATAGTTAAACTGTGACCACTCGATTCATTCAATTATGGAGCGTTAATTGAAAGCAGTTTCGTGTGCGCCAATTTGTTAATTAGCGTATTCCGAGGGGTAAAGATTCATAAGAAAAATACGGAAGAGGTTACAAGGGGCAGAAAAAGGGCTAATATCAAAGAGCAAGTGTCGATTGTAAGACAAGCAATTATTGAAATGGATGTCCATCCGTTTGAAGGGGATTCCATGGACGTTGAAAGGGCTTTGAACGCACCTGATGCTATGCTGCATCTTTAATCAGCCACCGGCAATTCTGTGATGTAATCACAGGAGGCTCGTCGTAACGTGAGATGCAAATTAGCCAACATTTATCGACTCGCTGATTATTTAGCTTCTGTAGGAAATTGATCCTCGTTCGACAACCATTTTCAAAGCGTACAAGATGGTCGACGTCGTCGAGTCGGTATATAGCCATTGTTTACTAAAAATAGGCGATTGTTTTGTTTCGGGGTTATTGTGATGTAAGAATATGATGGACGTGGACGAAGGTTGGGGTAGAACTTGTCAGAATGTAGACTGATGGTTTATATCGATTAAAAATATTGAAAAAAATGCACGAAAATATTTGATCATTTCTAAAATTTGAGTTGGACAATATGAAATTAAATATGAGGAATTCTTAGATAATTAATTGCAAATATCCTTGAAATATCAATTAAATTTGAAAATCACTAGAATACCAGCTAAGGGTAAATATCCCTAGAAAATCAACTAAGCAGAAAAATCCCTAGAACATTAACTAAGCATGGAAATCCCTAGAATATCAATTAAACATAAAAATCCCTAGAACATCAACTGAGCACAAAAATCACTAGAATATGAACTAAGCATAAAAATTTATAGAACATCAACTAAGCATAAAAATCACCAGAATATCAATTAAGCATAAAAATCCCTAAAACATCAACTAAGCATAAAAATTCTTAGAACATCAACTAAGCATAAAAATCACCAGAGTATCAATTAAGCATAAAAATCCCTAAAACATCAACTAAGCATAAAAATTCTTAGAACATCAACTAAGCATAAAAATCACCAGAATATCAACTAAGCATAAAAATTCCTAGAATATCAATTAAGCTTAAAAATCCCTAAAATATCAACTATATATAAAAATTCCTAAAACATGAGACAAATATAAAAGTCCCTAGAATATCAACTGAGCATGAATATCCCTAGAACATCAACTCAGCATAAAAATCTCTAGAACATCAACTAAACATAAAAATTCCTAAAATATAAAAGTCCCTAAAATGTCAAGTAAACATAAAAATCCCTAAAAAATCACTAAATATCAGATAAATATAAACATTCCTAAGATATCAGGTAAATACAAAAGTCCCTATAATATGAACTGAACATAAAAATCCCTAGGACGTCAGCTAAATATAAAAGTCCCTATAATATAAACTGAACATAAAAATCCCTAAAATGACAAGTGAATACAAAAGTCCCTATAATATAAACCTAACATAAAAATCCCTAAAATGACAAGTGTATACAAAAGTCCCTATAATATAATTTAAACATAAAAATCCCTAAAATAATAAGTAAATACAAAAGTCCCTATAAGACGACCTAAACTAAAAAATCCCTAAAATATTAACCAAATATGGAAAATATAAAATATGTCTATGAAATAAAAAATTGTTCTGAATTCTGTCTTTAGTGTCGAGATAAAAATAACAAACCCAATATCGAGATGTTTCCATGAATTGTTCTAAATCCATTGTCTATGCAGTTCTCTGTTTA